GAAGCTAGAAGCCTACAGAGAACTGCCTTGAAATATTTCGTAATTGAAGATCAACTCTACTGGCTCTCTTACACAAGCAGAAGAATGGGGCCCTATCTTTGGTGCCTCCGACCGGAAGAGTTGAACTATGCCCTAAGGAAAATCCACGAGGACATATGCGAAAACTACATAAGAGCCAGAACCCTAGCACAGAAGGTCATCAAAGAAGGCTATTACTAGCCAACCATTCTGACCGAGTTGAAAAAGCTAACAACCTAGTGCAAAGCCTGCTAACTTTTCTCAAACATTCCAAGAGCTCCGGCAATTTATCTCTCTCAACAATCTAATCTCTTTCGCCCAATGGGGATTGGATTTACTGGGGCCATTCGCAATGGCAGACGTACAATAAAAGTTCTTAATAGTGGATAAATACTATTTCACCAAGTGGATAAAAGCGGAGTCGCTGGCGAGAATTAGTGAAAAGAATATTCGCAACCTCATCCGGAAATCGATCATCAGCAAATTTGGAATATCGATGGTCATCATAATTGTCGACACCTAATTTGACAGTAAGGGGTTCTGTGAGTACTATGAAAAATAGAGGATCCGGTTCAAATTTGCATTGATGACACACCTCAAGTGTAATGGTTTAGCAGAAGTAGCAAACAAGTGCATAATGCAAGCACTAAAGAAGAGAGTGGACCAAGTAAAAAAAAGGGTCGATGAGCTCCCTAGTATTTTGTGGTCATACAGAACGACACAAAAACTCTATAGGGAAAACACCGTTTCAACTGGCATATAGAGCGGAAGCAGTTATCCTAGTGGAAGTCGATATGCCCACTATATAACTTCAACACTTCGACGAGAAAGCCAATCAAATAGGCCTCAGGAATGGACTTGACCTCGTCGTCGAAATAAGGAAACAAACACTTCGATTTTTGATAATCAATCAGCAACGCATCGTTTGGTATTACAACAGCCAGTTCGCTGTCTTTAACAAAGAAGTTAGCTACGGAAAACTTATTGCAGACTAGGAAGAACACTACAAAATCGTAAAAGAAGTCCACCTGGGAACCTATTGGCTGCAGAATAAGAATGGGAAGTCTTGAAGCATCTTTAAAATATAAAACATCTCAAGAAATATTTCCAATGAATGTAATTAAAGAATCCCCTTATCAATGAAAAGCTTTTCTCTAGAAGCAACTCATCCAACGTGCTTAAAGATCTTGGTTTTCAAGAGTAAAACAAAGGAACAAGAAGAAATCCTTGTGACCCGATCTTCATCGAACGCGTCTAAGATACTCAAAGCCCTTGATCGGTCATCATGAGTAAACACAAGGCACTACCAAAGAATCCATGTGACTCGATTTTTAATGACTCGTCCAAGGTACTCAAAGCCCTAGGTATTAGTCTTCATGAGTAAACCCAAGGCACAACAGGAAATCCTTATCACCGAGTCATTTGAGGGCGGTCCTTCCGGCAAATCAACTCAGAAATGATGTTATAAACAAATTCAAGTCGCACAAAATGAGCCTTTTTCATTAATAACTTGTGAAAATTTACAGGACTTTTTATGACTCAAAAAAAGTGTACACAAACAAAAGAAAATCTACGAGGCTAGAGCAAAAGCTGAGGTCGCAGGTCGCTCAAATGATGAAGATGAGTCGGCGTCATCGCTGGAATCTACCTCGACCGAACCTTCGTCTAACTCACCGCCTGCCTCTTCACTCTCCCTAGACTATTCAATTCTGTCGGACGCCTCAAGCTCCTTAATGATGTCTAGGCAGAGACCGCCACTCTAGAGGGGAACTTGAACTAGTCAAGATTGATTAAGCTCATGAGGAAGCTGGGCCTTCCTTGCAAGCGATAGCAGCCTCAAGCCTCTCAAGAGGACCATTACGATATTTCTCGATCACTTGATCCTCAAATGCCTTCGACTCCCAATCCTTGAGGTCTCGGATTTGATCGAGAGAGTTATGTTGTTACTTAGCCCTCTGAGCGGCCTAGGCGGTTTTGTTTCGAAGATACTCCTGAAGGGCCACCTCCTGATGCAACGTCACCTTCAAGATGTCCACCTCAATCCAAGCCTCACAAGCTTGCTCTGGGGAGAATTCCCTCTCCCTCTTCTTCATCTAGATTTTCGACTCGAGATACTTGATCTGTGCGTAGGCATAATCTAAGCTATGGCGGGCCCGATCCTCCTCACAAGCTTGCTCTGGGGAGAATTCCCTCTCCCTCTTCTTCATCTAGATTTTCGACTCGAGATACTTGATCTGTGCGTAGGCATAATCTAAGCTATGGCGGGCCCGATCCTATTCACCCGTCATTACCTCTATCTTCTTACGGTTAGCTTCAAGGAGAGCAGCTTCATGTCGCTCTGGCCGCCTCAGCACGCCAATTCGGCTCGTAGTCCACCAGATCCTGATCTTTCTTGAGCTGGTCCAACTCCTCACCCCTCTTAGCAACCAAAAGCTTGACCGACTCACGGGCAGCCCTCCGAGTTGCCACCTCCTCTCGAAGCTTGATGAAGAGTTCGTGGGTCGACTAGACCCTACTAAAAAGCTCGATCTCTACAAGCAAGCCTCGAACAAGATAGCTCCACAAAGTCTAATGAAGACTATAGTCGAACACCCTGTGTAGCAAGGTTTGACCATTCGGAAGATAAATCCAACCCACAGCGTGCGCTTGGTTGGATCTAGACTCTACGACCGACCCTTGGAATCCAACCGATAACTTGGAACAATTGGAACAAACACAAAATCGCCCGTTGACTCCCTCTCATATCGGGCCCCAGCCTTAGCTGACCCAATGAGGGTTGTCCTTCTTTCCTCCCACTCAAATGAAGGGAGTTCGCTTATGCTATAGAGCAAGAACCACTCAAACTAGCCCTCAAGGGGGATATCCTCTTTAACGGCCTCAGTAGTCGGTTCCAGCTCCATTGTCAGTTCCTTCCCGAGCCTCAAAGGCTCCGGGGCCTCATTTGCTCTGACTAGGGTGGTCATGTTTGCTTCAACTCCAGCAGGAAGCCCAGTCCATGCCAACATCAAAGGAGCAAGGCAAGCGTCCTCGACAACCTCCTCTTGTTTGGCAGATGGTAGTGGACGCTCATTACCCATATCAACAAACTCATAAAGAAAAACCTCTAATAGGGCTAGGATTGCACCCGCGGGCTTAGGCCACAGAGCTACCTCCTGCGCCAAAAAAGCCTGAGAACTACCCGTAGCACTGCGACGACTATTGGAAATGGTCTTTTTCCTCTTCTTGGACCTCTCCGCTTAGGAGGTAAAGATTGCAGAGCCCACGCCAAGCCAGGCCTTGAGCTTAGTCGGATCTTTAAGGAAATCTTGAACCTCCTCCTTTGTTAACTCGGAACGAAGGCGCCTTTGGGGACCAAAGGAGAGGTTGGTGCAAAGAGCCTCTTCCCAGTGCACTTTGGTAGCAAGAAGTGTGGCTTGAGCAAGATCCTCCTTCATAACCTTCATGAAAGAGATGCCGGCAGCTCGGAGCACGGCATTGTCGAAAAGGTTCTTGTATCGGTGAGATCCGTTGTAGGCTTGGATCTTCTCTAAGCCTTACTTCTCCACTTCGAAGAGAAACCCAGCCTTCAAGCTCTTGTTCTTGATCTCTGGACATGAAGAGCAAGCTAAAATCAGGTCGGCGCTAAAAAAAAGAGCTTCTTCTATCGTTCATTTGTCTCTAAGCTCTCTTTCTTAATCTCCGGACATGAAGAGCAAGCTAAGATTGGGTCGGCGCAAAAAAGAAATAAGAACTTCTATCATTTATTGGTCTCTAAGCCCTCCTTCCTAGTCTCTGGGCACGAAGAGCAAACTAAGATCGGGTCGGCGCCAAAAAGAAATAAAAACTTCTCCTTCTATCGTTTATTAGTCTTTGGGATGTTCGAGATCAGTCGGAACCCAGTTGTTGATTGAAGATAGAATTGCATCTCGCCCTTGCTAGCTTTGACGCACAACAAACGATCCAAGATCTCTAGGGCCGGTTCGACTTCCACCTGATGGCAGATAATGAGGAAAGTGGTCAAGAAAGCCACCGAGTTAGGCTCCAAGGTTTAGAATACCCTCCTGAGGAAAGGGTGCAGAGGCAAGTCGGAGTCCACAATTAAGATGATGCTAGTACATCAGCACCTCGTCACCACCATGGTGGTAGATGGAGCAGTCAAACAAGGGAACAGACAGAGTAAAGGAGTTGGAGATGTCGTACTCCATCCGTCGCGTGATGCTATCGTGACGTACCGATGACTTGTACTCGTGAAGCAGTGAGATTTGCGCCTTGTTACGAACAAGAGAAGATTGCAAACCGAAAGCCGTCGGAGATGCAGATAGTTCGAATGTTGAAAGTTCAAAAAATGGAGAAGGGACGAGGTTATTTATACGTGCTAACCGACCTCCGATGGTCGACACGTGGCCATATTTGAGTGGATGAGCTCGGATCCCTAGGATCCACCGTCAACCCTCATCAATTGAAGCGTCCAAGTGAGCATAATCTCCGCTGACGACATCACATCATTCACAGTTGCCTTCTATTGGCCAATGTTGATTCCTAGGGTAGCGAAGATGAAATTGTTCTATTTTTCCTCGAACCTGGATTCCTCTAGCGTGAGTGAAAGGGGCCAATATTATACCTTAAAAATCACAAGTTTGATAAGCCTTTGAGAGTTGGTTATGTGCCAGTCGAATGGATTAGATCATATGACCAAAAGGTCTGACCCGGGAATAGACACAACCCAACCATACAGGCTGACCTTAATCGACCGTCCAAGTCCGAGTTGAAAGGCGTCTTCAGGTTGGAATAGTATAAGAACATCATATTCACTATATTGTAAACATTTTCTATTTACAATGGCATTTTATGTTATAATCATTAGTTTACAAGTCTTATGACTTCTATAACTACTTAAAGATTACAGGATTTGCCACAAGTGAAAATTGAACATCAAACAATTATCTTAAAATTAGGAATTGTTCATTCAACTGCTCTTAATTTTTTTTACTTGTTGGATGCAGTACCTAGACTTGAAACCGCCTTCATCTCCCAGTCCATCCAAACCCGAAAGTTGATGCAGCAACTAATGTGTTATAATTGCAGTTTTTGTGCACACATTTCTGCATTAGCGCTCATATTGGCTTGGCTAATTGCAGCAGGAAAGAACTGCAGGAGGAAGCCAGTATCTTCTTGGGTGTTTCTGCTTGTAATTCCTAATGTTCATGAGCTCCTAGTGTGAGCGAGTATTTTGTGTAATTTGTTGAGAATGAGAAAATTTATGGAGCTGCCGTTCTGTAACTTTTTTGTGAATGACAATAATAAGATTAATTCAAATTTTAGTAAGCCACAGAAGAGGACTGGATTGGGTAAAGGTCTTTTGTTTTGTGTTGATTCGTCATTGTAGCTTACTATTCTGCCTTCATGTATCACAGGACGCTAAGATCCCTCTCCTCCCTCTTTTGGGATGGGGGTTTGAGAGAAGATAGAAGAAAATAGGGATTTTAGCGAATTTAAACATTTAGTAAAAGTCAAGTCAAGAAAGCTTTAGTTTGAGATGATTTCAAGCATAAACTAACGATATAAAGATTCATATAACTTCAAAAATATGATAAATTTGGGGGTATATAGGTAAAAAACCCAAAAATAAAGATGAGACAACGGCTAATATTCGAGCCCAATCAGCATTACATATCCCCTAAAGACATCAAAATGCTCCCAGAACATTGGGGAAACCCCAATATAATATTTCATACCCCTATAGCATACATTACCCAACCCCTTACGTTTTAGTCTGAGGATGTCCTATTATCATTCAAGGGCATAATTCTTTGAATCAATCAATCATTCAAACTGTGTTACTGCCCCGGGTGCAGTTGAAGAGGCTTCCCACGACCGATGGTGAATCCCTTTGTGCCATCAGGCATGCGAGGCCCAGGAGGCTGCCTTGATACGATAGTTGGCAGCTCATTGGAAGGCGAAGTGCCAATTGTGTGGCCCCCACCAACATGGTGACTATTGATGTTACTGTTATGGTGAGGCCCTCCTCGTCCACGCCCTTTACCTGCTCGGCCCCTTCCCTTCCCCCTCTTTGCTGTTCCACTTTCCTTGTCATTGACAACTATCTCCTCAACCTGTCCAAAACAAATACTAGACACGACTTCAAAAGCAAAAATACCATTTTCAATTGAAAAAAAAAATATAACATGAATTGAGTTTGACTGGGGGGAAGTGAAAGGATTCAAGGAGCCTTACAACATGTTCTTGTGCAGTTTCAGCTGTCTGCGAAGGATCCTGGTCCATGTGCTTGACCTTTGTCTGGTCACTTGTGAAGGCATTCTCCTCTTCTACATTTCCATCACCTTCATGCCCTGGCTTACGCCCTCGAGCTGACCCTTGCTTTGGTGGGACCTGGAGTAAATATTGATTAGGAGATGTATCGTACTACTTTCCAGATAAATGGAAAGAAAATAATTGAGTACACTTCGTATGAATGCTTCAAGCCCATGTACGAAAAGAGGAGAAAGTGCCAAAAACATGAAACAAGACACGAGAAAAAGATTATTTAAGATGAAAAGAGAGAGAGAGAGAGAGAGAGAGAGAGAGAGAGAGACCCCATAAAAGCAAAAATATATGTAAATTTAAATATGCAGTCAATGACTCAATTCCGCATCATGCGTGAATGCACAAATGTACTGTTAACTTAATGGAGGAGATGGCCTTAAGCAGAACTGAATGGAAAAAATAAGACTCATGTAGCCGACCAAAAGATACAGGATAGATGTTTTATTGCAGTTGTTGTTGTACGCGCACACAAGCACACACACAGAGACACACTAGATCCTTCTAAGTGCATGCCTCAAGACCTCGAGCTAGAATAATCACTGTAATGTGACTAAAGGAAATACTAGTTAGAAACAACTAAGAAAAAAATAAGGAAACATAGAGAAGAAAGCAGGAATAATCACTGCTTATGAGAACAATATCATGGCAGTACCATGCAACTAGACAACAAACGAACACGAAGCCCATTTCTCCAATTCCTTCCATCATTAAGCTCAGCAACCTGCTTAAACCAAGGTATCACAATGAGAATTCAGCTGAAGTTAAAAAGTAATTTACAGATGTTGCGCCAAAGGGGGAAAACTGATTCTAAAGTTTTAAAACCACTAGCTTACTGCTTGCTCAGCATCCTCAATGCTCTCGTACTCCACAAATGCATGCAACTAGAAATAGAGATGAAAAATTAGCCATGATAAATGATTAAATGAAACCTCAGACAGTTGCATTACTTAAACGATCTGCAGTATCAATATTTATCTAACAAACTACAAGCGCAGCATATGTCCCTATACACTAAAAATAAATCAAATAGAGTTCAAATAAATGTATGAACAATATTAAAGGCCTAATACATTACTTTTGTGATCATAGAAGGAAGGTATTGCTCCTGCACCTCACAGAAGCTAGCTTCTATTCAGAACTCGGTCCAAATACTTTTGAGACCATTAGATTGAAACAACACTTGCATTTCAATAACAAAGATAGCATTAATCTAAAGTATCATTACTCATTAATCTAAAGTATCATTACTCACTAGAGCTGACCTGGAAGTTAATTGGATCTACTAAGGAACAGTGTTCTACCAGGGTAAATGAATGGATTATAATGTGTCATGTGTGCCTAGTACTTCTCTGATGTGCTGCCAATGTGGAAAGGCTTAGCTGTGTTAGCTGAGCTAGAATTGTTTAAACGGCCTTAGATTCTAGACTTGAAGTGAACAGCTAAGAGAGGGTGTATTCCTATTAGACATAAGGCCCCGTTTGGTACGCGAGAATGAGGTGGAATGGAATGTCATTCTCACTTCTCATTCCCTCATACCAAACAAAACTAGTTTTTAGATGTTGGAATGATCATTCCTATGGAATGGTCATTCCCATTTTTTGTGAGAATGGGCATTCCAAATGAGAAGATAGGGAATGATCATTCTCATTCAAGGGGAGAATCAAATTAGTTAGGGTTTTTCCAATTATACCCCTATTGATAATAAGAATCAATTTAAAAATCATAATTATGTACTGGTCAAATGAGTTATGTTTATGTTTATGTCATAATTTTATGTTTATGTTTATGTCATAATTTTATGTTTATGTTTATGTCATAATTTTATGTTTATGTCATAATTTTATGTACTGGTCCCTACCCATTGTACGCCATTCTGTCCCCTTTTTTATACAACGTATTAAAAGGGAGTTAGATGATGGATTTCCAATAATCTTCTCTAGAAAATTTTAAAGAAGGTAAGTCACAGACTCTTTTTGGAAATATGAGAAATCCAATGTCATGGAATGCCTTATGCGTTGATTTGATAGAATTAGTACATAAAATTTTCAAGGTCGGCATTTGAAAGATGCGATAATCTTTTATTTATTTTTTTAAGACTAAGAAATAGTGAGAATTGTTTAAAAAATATAAACGAAACATACACCTGATCGATAACATGCGCATTAGTATAACACATACCTAGATTAATATAACATATGCATAAATAAATTTTTTTAGTTATTATCATTAATGTTTATTTTTATCTTATTAAAAATCTATGTTGTTATAAAAGCATTATTAGAAAATGAGATTCCATTCTCACTTGTGAACTAGTGATACCAAACATGGGAATAAGAATTAGATTTTCATTCTAGCTTCATTCTACAAACACACCCAAACAAGAGAATGGGAATGATCATTCCATTCTCACATACATTCCATTCCATTCTTCTTCCATTTCATTCTCACTTAACTTCATTCCCACGTACCAAACAAGACGTTAGTGAATAATATGCATAGACAACTTATCTTTAGGCAGAGACGATGTTCATGTGAATGCGGTGTGCACGATCCTCGCCAACTTAGGCTATAAGTAAAAAGATATAAAACCGTTTGCATGAATGAGGTGGACTAAGCTCTTATACTAAACTGTCTCGCATGACTACACCTGACCTGTTCACTGGCATCTCATTGTTCTTAACCCACACCAACAAGCAGGCCAATCATCTTAGTTAAATCAGTGGTGTTCCATCTCATTTCAGCTAATCGTTGCTAATTGCTTCTTGCCACTGTCTAAGTAATCTGATTTTCCTTTTTTTATAAATTAAAGCAAAGATGAAACCAACTGATATACCCATCTACCTACCGTACATAGCTAGTGATGCATACCTTGCAGATCCAGGAAGAAATTTGATTGCATTATGGTAGCTATGAATGGTTAAAGAGATACAAATTTGTTTCGTGCGAAGATACCATCTGTACCTGACCTGTTCGACTGTACACCCCCACCCAGTCTACAAACACAAACACCGACATAAAGCCCTTTATTTGATAAGGGTTATTCTAAAGTCCAAGATTGGAAGCAGTAAAAATGTTAACCACTGATCTGGCCCAATAAAGGTAAAAGACACTAGCATTTCTACTTATTTATTTATAATCAAACACATACCAAGTCATGAATGTTTCTGTCTTGTTCATGAGGGCTTGTATGTCAATGGGATTTACTTTAAAGAAATATCTCAATAAGTGCAAGCTTTGGGAAGCTGGGAAAATTTGATAACTGAATGATAAATAGAGCTGTAAATGAGCTTGGATACTGAATTTACGCCTTGTTTGGTTGCAGGAATGGGGTGGAATGGAATGCTCATTCCCACTTCTAATTCCCGCACACCAAACATACCAACATTTTAAAAGTAGGAATGCTCATTCCCAGAATAAGCATTCCTAGGGAGTTGATAAGGAATGACCATTCCCATTCAAGTGGTAATCAAGTCTGTTACGTAATTTCCAATTATACCCCTACTGACCAAACAAATCTTAAAAGTATTGGCCCATATTAGCTTATCTCAAAAATTGAATGTTTCTATCTCTTTCATTCCACAGACTCCAAGGTAGATCACCATGTTTTTTATTCATAACAATATTTCTTAATTTTAAATATACTTACTTGATAAATTTGATCGCATATGTCCCCTCAAAATTTACAATTGAAAACCCACAATTACTGTTGATTAGAAGTTCATGTTATCAGGGATAATTACTTGAAATATTTGTTTATGTATATGATTCTCTATCAAAATCAACAAAGTCTCTTTTATTAAGGATTATTAGTTGCCATCACTTAATTTTAATGTCTGTCCAAATCATGTATTTAGGATTTTTTACAATTTCACAAGTCTATGCACATGATATCTATTGATGTTTTATATCCCCGTGCATATAATCTTCATACATATAGTGTTGCTTGTGTCATTTGTATCACTTCTTAGTATAGATGCTTCACGTGTTTGATTTTTGCATTGGTCCCCTTGCAATTTAAAATTTAATTACAACCGAAAGTGAAACTCCATAACTAGTAAATACAACGAAATGATGAATCATATATACAGAGGTTTTCATCAAATCCTACGAAATTGGAATGAGGTATTTTATGTATATAGAATAATTTTGATCAATGTTGATAATTTGTCGAATGAGATATTATTGTTGGCATCAATTACCAGATTAACTTGTCAAGTTTTCAAAATTAATTAAATTTGATGAGGAGGTAATGTCAAGAGCTGCTATTTCAACTTGAGATGAGCTCTCTTTGTTACTGATTCTTATAATATTGCTCACTACTGTTAGAATAATTTTTCCATGTCTAAAGCACTTTGCTCATTCACATGATCATTTGATGAAGAAATTAGATAGAACCGGGATTTTGGGATAAAAAATTATCATACTGAAATTATGTTACAGGTGTCATCCTGAAACAAGATTCCGCACCTATATCTTCAAAATTCTTCTTCTTATAAATTAATAATGCCTTTTATAATTGTATGTTGTTCTAAGGGCATCATTAGAAAACAATATTCCATTCTCATTTGTGAACAAGGAATACCAAACGCAGGAATGGAAATGAGATTGTCATTCCCGATTCATTCTCTAATCGCACCCAAACATGAGAATGAGAATGACTATTTCATTCCCAAATTCATTCCATTCCGTTCCTAACTCCATTCTGCTCTCACTTGACTTCATTCCCACATACCAAACAAGACCTTAGGCTTTAACAAGAAACAATTTCTTTCCCACAAAAGCTCCTAATTTAAGAATGGATAGACTTATCATTCTGTATGACGGCCTTCCCCGGAGATCACAGGAAACTGAAACCTAAGCAGACTGTTTGATAAGACTTGAAAACCAAATAGTGCCTTGAGTTCTACAGAAAAATGCATGTGCAATTTAAATTTTAAAAGAAAGAGCATGCTCACAACACAAACTCAAATATGTAAATGAAAACAAGCAAAAGGAAATCAGTTTAGTGACCGGCACTATAATCTGGAGACAGCAACTAACGTAATTTGTGATCAAACAATTTTCGTAAATCAGAATTAAATAAACGTCAAACTCATGCCCAATCATTGCACTAATTTACAAATATAAGCTTATACAACACTGTATGTGCATAGACTGTCTTACCTACAAGTTGTTCTGAATACAATTTATGTCCCTCTAAGAAGTGAATGGTTAATTTGAACCTAGACCTAAAATTCTGAACTAAGCGAAACTGAAACTGTTGAAGATGTACATTGTTTCACTTTGTACTTAAATATGTCCAAGTCATCGAGCCTATCAGAAAAAAGAATATTACCAAATTAATCACATTATGATGATGTTATGGAAAAAAATTTATTAACAAAATCCCCGTCAAGAAGAAAAATATGCACCTTATTAGCAAAAAGCATATCTAATTTTGAGGATCTGTTTGTTGCAGCAGCTGTTCCATTAGGGGCCTGAGGATAGCATGTACGGATTGTCTTCACACTGCAATGTTTCATGTCATTAGTACATTGAAACAGTAATGCTAATTATGAGTCCTACCTATGCATGTTGAATATATACCTCCCAACTACAGAGAAAATCTTCATAAGTCTTTGGTAACAATGATCATCTGGGAGATTTTCAGCAACAACAATACGCGACTGCAGGGAAGTACAACCAAATGATCAGAACTCTACCAAGGCGCTAATGAATTGTGAGTTAACAAGGTGGATAAAACCTGCAAATCTTCAACATCCAATTCAGTAAATGGTTGCCGGCGTCTAACCTTCTTCCCATCTTCACTAACAACCTGAAATTTAATGCAGATAACAACTCACAGGAAAGACCACAGATGAACGATTCTTACGGGTATCTAATATTGAATATTTACAGAATATTGCACCATTCAACTGTAAACAGCCTTAAACAAATATGAGTAGGATTATGTCAACAGGATGAGTCAACGCTTTTGCTTTTGCTTTTGCTTTTTCTTTTCTCTCTCCATGTAGTGGTCTACATAGAGATGTGTGTTGGTGTCATGCCAGAATAATATTTTTGGATACACAATGGGCTCTGTCATTTCTTCCATAGAAAGAATTTATTTAATATATGATTATAACAAGACATACTAAGTTCAATTGTACAATTGTACATTGCCCAGCAAACTTACAAGTTTTGATGAAGTTCGCAGAGCAGCAGCAAGCAAGGAATTGCTGTGGACTAAAGCCTTGATCTTCTTAAAAGATGCAACAACTGTTATTGGCACTGCACAGAAGATCATTGGTTTAAACAACATGAGAGAACAAGACACTCTATGCTTAAACTGTTGCTTTACATAAAGGGCAGTAAATTAAAGAAGAATACTAAGTGCACTGCAAACAGTTTCCTCATAAAGGGTACATTTCATGCAAAACAAAACATATATTCTTCCAAAAGGACAGCAAATCTGTACCCGCTAAATAATGGTTCTCCCTAGAACCATCACTGAGCACCACAAAAAAGCAATCAATGCTATATTAATAAAACACCACATAGCAGTACAGCCTCATCAAATGTATAGTCAAAAGGTACGTATGAGAACTAACATTTATGCAATCAGTATTACAGCTACAAAAAGGCCTTTATACCAACTTTTTGGGGTCAGCTACATGAATCATATTCTTCCATTAAGTTCTATTTTTGGTCATCTCCTCCGTTAAGTTCATTCCTTCTTAAATTGTTCCAACAAAGTTCTCTTAGCTCTACCTCTAAATCTCTTTGTCTCATTAACTATAATATTATCACTTTTCATATCCGATGCACTACAAGGCCTCCATTGTACAATCTCAAACCATCTCAACCGATTCTAACATTTTATCCTCAATAGGAGCAACATCTAATCTACTATGAATGCACTCATTTCTTATCCTATATTTTTGTGTATACCCACAATACCATCCTATCTTTAGTACTACCAATGCTTAGTCTGAAGACACCAAATTAACAAGACTCTTTATTTCAAAAATGCATATCAAGGTAAAAAAATTGTAATAAAGGCCGTGTATATCTATTAAGAACATACTCAAAATAATACTAGATATATCAAAAGAATATTACTTGACCTTTTCAGCATTGCTAACATTCCCACATATATCAATATCCCCAGCTTTGAATTATCATATCCTTTCTTACACACACCCCCACCCCCCAAAAAAATGAAAAGAAAAAAAATCCCACATATACTTTCTCTCTCTATTACAACCTGTATGCTACAACATTTCAGACTTCTCTTAGAAGGACAAGAAATTAGTGAGATCAGCAAGAGTTGCACAGACAAAAAAGTAAATTGAGAAGACAGGAAGAAAATTGGAGACAAAGTATCAAGCTCGATGGCGGGAATGGTTAACAATAATCAAAATATGCACACAAGAAAGAAAAAGATTGATTAATGGTTGGTAAGTGCCAAAAGAAATCCTTTTTCAAGAATTATGGGAAAAAGATTGATTAATGAGGTGTAATTTCTATTATGGACTAAAAGAATACAAAGGCAATTCTATTCATGAAGAAAACGCTTAAACAGAACACACTAACTGATTACAATCCATAGTTAGGTGATTCCC